TATATATATGTAGTTTGCGTACACTTTTCTCCGCATTCATTTGTGTTTTCGCGAATTAAAAATCCTTGCCACTAGTAGTGACATGATCGCATGATTGTGCCTTGAAGTCCAAGTGATACTGCAGTATCACTACTATATGGTAGACTGCCCTCTTATTTGAAACCGAACCTCCATCTGGCTTGATAAAGTATAAAATCTGCGTCATGATGACCAGATAAACTAAAGAAATTCACGAATTGTGCTTACAATCAAGCCAGCTCTTCTAGCCTAGGCTACGCAACGAAGCACTTTGAGATAGAAACGTTATCGTATTATTGATAAACGAGGAGCGTGTTTAAAGGAACGAGTACGGTAACGTTCGTTGTCACGTGACAGATATATCCGGTCACTCGATCTTGTTTGTTTCGTCTGCTAGCCTACAAAACAGACTGGCGTTTTGACTGTTGGGCTCAGTTCGGATCTTGGTTGGAGTTGAGAGCAGTTCGTAAGCTTAGATTCGCGGTTGTGAAGCTCGTCCTTTTTTCTGGTATTGTTAAAACTAGTTCTGTGGATAGGTGTGCTCACAGTCTTCTTCTCAATAATAATTTGTAATTAAAAACGCCGCTCCTCAAACATGGAAAAAAAGAACGGACCAAAAGGAGACATAAAGGCAAAATCAACACCAAGCTCCCTTTCAGCTAATAAGGATGTAAACATTGGACGACCGAGAGTGCGAGGAGTTGACATCATGCGGGATCCAATACTTAACAAAGTAAGTATATCTAGATCTAGGTGGGGTAGTTAGATCTAGATCTAGATCTAATATAGATGTAGATATAGATCTAGATCTAGATCTTATCAAATTAAAGTCAACATTTTTAGGGGCCGCAAAACAACAAAATTGTCAGCTGTTGTGAGTCTAAAAATAGAATTAGATATATTAGATCTACACTAGATCTAGATCTATATCTAAATCTAGATCTAGGCCTACATAATCAAGATATCTAAGATGTAGATCTAGATATTAGATTCTAGATATAGATCTAGATTTAAAAACAAGAATAGTTTTCTCAGTTGTCAGCTTCATGCAAATCCCTGTCCTATTCTTCTAGGCCTACCGGTAGGCCTACTTATTTATAAAGACTCTGTACTAGGCCAATGTCAATAGCCTTTATAAATAGCTCCTAGATCTAGATATCTATGATCAACTGTTACATTACTACGTTGACTTTGAATAGATTATAGATCTAGGCTAAATATCTAGATATCTAGGTAGATTAGATCTAGAATCTTGATCTAGATCTAGCCTAGGTTTACAATTACATTATTGTAATCGGGATCTGGGCCTAAGATCTTCGATTTGAAATCGCTGATTCATGCATTGAGCATTGGTTAGGCCGATATATAGAAATCTAGATCTCTCTATAGTCTATAGGCCAATATATAGATCTAATCTAGATCTAAATCTAGATCTACATCAAGATCTAGATCTAGATTCTAGGTCTTATTATATTATTGTGAAAGAATTATAATAAAATGAATGACTCTCTAACTATCTACTCTTCTTGAACATTTTACTGTTGGTTTACTAAATCTAGATCTAGATCTAGTCTGTTTTTTTTTTTGCTGTATAAATGAAATGAAAGTTTTCAGTCAGAGAGTAAATAGGCTAAATGAAGGCGCATAAGACACAGTTAAAGTCTTTCTAGTTCGACTTTGCACAACGTGGTCTTAATCGTATCTCAACCCAAAGATCTCAACTCATTTTCCCATTGGCATGATCATAGTTCTATTTATTGACCTCACAGACTTTAACTTTATAGATTGTTGTAGATTGGTTGTCTATGGAGACAGCATGCATCATGATTGATGATCGTGGCCTCATTTAGCTGGAACCGATTTAAGGATGTGTATTCTAGTGCCAGTTAAAGTAGCAACTGGCGGGAATGGGAAGGGGTTATTCACTCATTAAAGCACCCACGCCCACACTAGCGAGGTGCCCTACATCGTAGGACATCGTAGGCGCCTATGCCACAATTTTAAGGGCCTCCAGTTACAATTTTTTTTTTTAAGGGACTTTGGATTGGGAGTCTAGGGTGCACATGAAAAAAAAGTAGGGAGAAAAAACAATGATGAAGGTAGAATATATATAGATCTAGGCCTTCTAATTATTTGACTTTTAGTGGAATTTTTTTTTAGAATGGTGGTGGTAGATAAATGTGGCATGACAAATCCATTCATTTCATTACTTATGAAAACATTCTGGTCTGTAAACTCACAGGCACCACTTTTCATGCTCACGTTATTTTTTTCTGTTTACCGTACTGTCTGGTAGAAAATTGATTTCCTTGCATTTTGATGTAGAACTACATTTTAGTTTGTCTCATAAATTTTGAAGAAGTAAGATTCTTATCAGACACGGCAGTCAGATATAATAAGAAAGTGACCACTCAAATGAGTTGGGACACATTGAGGAAAATGATCTTGTAGAGAAAAAGCTCATGCCTTGAAGATAATAACAAAAGACTGCATATATAATGCTCTATCCCATACGAACAAGCTGTTCGAGCGCTTTACCTCAATCACATGATCATTGAAAAGTAATAATTCATTCACACAGGGTAAAATATTTCACAGTACTTAACCAAAAAACCCAGTTCAATCACATAAAGAGGAACCATTGAACCATCACAACCATACATTCATAACATACACACGCAATGACAGCAATAAAAACAAAACATATAAGTACTTACAGCAATTTAATGTTTTAGGATTTGATATTTTTCTGAGATCCTGGGGTAAGGAGTTCCACATTTTAAGGCCAAAAAATGAGAAACTTTTCTCAACAAAAGATCTTAATTTCATTCTAGGGGCTCTGAATTTTGTTGCGGTGTTTTTTGGGGCCACTTGTAATCTCCTCATTCGTTCACATGAAATACCAGACAGAACGAAATTGCAAAGTCAAGTTTTGACAAGACAAGAGAGATAGAGAGCATGCCGCCTAAGACAAGCAACCTAACCTAGAAAAAGGCGAGTCCTCTTCCAGGATGGTTGAGAAGCCACTTGACAGCCTCTTAAGCAAAGTAGACTACGTTTTAAGAGGATTGAATAAAGAAACATAATTTGAGGACTGTGGTTTACGTGTTGTGTGTAGTGGCAGGCTTGATTTTCATTTTCCCCACATGTTGAAAATTCTAAGAGAAAATAGGCCGCTAAAGTTGATCTGAGTACTGGCTTATATCTGATGGTAGTTTATTTGGGTTTGGCTTTGTCATTTTGGTTTCTCTGTGTTTTTGATAGGTGCAAAGATGAGCAAGTCAGTGTAGAAGTGAAAAGTATGTTCTTCTGTGATATAATATAATTATCCTTTTGTGCTGCTTTTCTGCATTTCCTTCACGGTGCTAGTATTACTGTAAACTCTCTGGTGCTACAGTCGAATTAGGCAGAACTTTAACACGTATGGCATGTTGTGTCGCATTGACTGAGGTCTTAGTCAGTGGTGTGTTGTGGGATAGGGCTTGTAGCTTCAGCCCCGCTTGGTTTTCTTCGCAAAAAAATACTTCTCTAAGATCAAAACAAAATATTTCATTAAAAATTTTTAAGAGACAAAACATAATAATGTGTTCAAATAAAAAGGGAAACTCCACGGGCACCCAATCGAAACGTCTGAGGCATAACAACTCGAAAAGTGATCTGATTAGTCTGGATGCCTACTGCTCAGCTTTTACTAGGCCTACGACCAGGCCTGTAGCTTCGTCCAGTCAGGCGCTCCTTCCGTCGAGGAGAATGATATATATTATTTCATTGGGCTTAGGCCTCTTAATCTTAAGCCCCGGCGCTTATTAAGTTCCCTCAGACTGGGGGGCGTTGACCTTGCACGGCTCAAGGCCGAGACAAAGCAACTGAAGTTTTATTAGGCTCTGGGGCTCAAGATGCATCCACCCACGCGCTGCGTCACGTGACAAGACATCGTTTGATTCTTGACACCTTGCCTAGTTAGTTTGCATACCCTCGCGGCTCCAGACTAAAGCATAGACTGAGCC